GTATCCACGTTTCGAGTACATTATTGAATTCGTGCTTGTAGTATCTGATGACATGATTCATGTTAACACAAATTGTAACAAAGTACAGTATAGTCTGAGGTCTTGCTTCTATCTTCTCACTCATATTATAATAAGGGTATTATTATATAATCTGTCACGAAAGTCACATAAGTAGTCACTCCACATATTTATTATAGTTGATCCTTTATTCAATTGCAGAAAAAATAGCATGTTCATTTTGATCAAAAGTGACTTTGTTTGACTCGCGAATTTTGATTTCGCTTGGCTTCGCTAGAAGACAATCAAAGTGTTACTTTTGACCCCAATGAAACCATCAACTATTAGAGCAGTTCTTTTTTTTCAACTGTCAAAAATGAAAGAGGTATGAGTGTCATCCGGTATATAATAATCTTGGCATAGCTACTCTTTTCATATCAGTCCACATTGTATAAATCAAAGAATAATAGCAAAATAACGGTTATCAGAATTACATAGCTATTATTTTATACGTTGCAGTATCAAACATTTCATTCGTTAGTATCTATCTCTATACTTAATGGCCATCAATTAATGCATCACCGAAATTACTATCCTATAAAAAAACTTGTATATGACTTATTTGTCATAAAGTAGGTATATAGTTTTCAATCCAATTTCTTTATTCCAGGTACCGATAGCATGCACTGGAAGCTGGAAGTCGTAAAAATATCCGTGAAAAACTCCAAGAAACCGTCGGGAATATAAAATGTGGAGAAGATACGAGACGAACAAAACGGCAATAAAACAACCCTAGTCGATACTAACAATACACTGCAGATATTTATTGAATTCGACATCTTCGCAAGTTGACAACTTCAGTGTCAAAGCCATAAAGTGAGATATAATAGTGGTTTCTTTGTTGTTATGTGTGCTGACAAGGCAGTTTATATCGTTGAAGTGCATATCAGATGAAAAACAAACAAGTTAACGTCTCCATTAGAATTTGATAGGATTGAAGAACAATACTTATTGTGTTCATTCTCGTACTTTATTCAGATAATTGTTACTGCTTGAAACACAAACGATAAGATTTTCATTAATTTCAAAAAGACAGCACATATAAACTACCTACTTCGAGTGTACAACCAAGAGGGGATGCAGAATGTATATCGTGAACCATTCTAGAAAGACTAGAAAGGGATTTTCAAGTTTATAGACCACTAGGAGGCGTATCTCTACATTGGCTATTTGACGGTTCTTCTTTATCGTTTTGATCGAACAAACTAGCGTTAGCCCTTCAAATGAGAGTGAAAGGGGACGATGAAAACACACTTATTACTACAACTTGGTGCTACGGAATCCGTCAAGCTTGGTCTAATCGATTCAAATCTCGTGGTAATCACTAGAGGGGGCCTTTGAAAAACCAGACAATTCTACATTATCCTGAAAATTGTTGATGAAATCATATTTTTCCACTTATAGAAGGAGTGCAAATCAGAAGACAAAAAAATCGAAATTCGCAGTCAATGTTAAACCTTAAGTGCACACGTTGGATATCAAAACTGTAGTAGACACGTGGGGTATCCACAGCACCCCACAACTTCAGACAGTATTCTCGATCAATTAAACAATGATACTAGTTACAATCATACGATTACCGATTTTTTCACAAATACTAAGTAGTACATATTGAATGTGAAAATTAGTTTCTAAACTCGAAATAACAAGAGTCGAATACAAAGAGAAATTTGGGTTGAATGCTCAATGAAAGTGAATGGAGTATCATTCGTCTAATACTCTGAATTTTTATCAGGTTTTGCAGTTACACACGCTCAACTTTTTTATGTTGTTTTGCTTCATGAAATCTTTTTACTTGGAATTTCGGCAGTGGTGCCAAACGTGTGCACTTTAGGGTTGAAAATTATCAATTGTATAGTTTCTATCTCCAGTTCCTGGAAATGTATCATCTGGCGGTTTTTTCATATTGTGTGCTGCTTCAACTAGTGTTGCCATCTAGACAAGACAAGACAAGAGTAGGTGAACTCTTTCAAGACAAGAGTTGTATACGCGTAAGTCTTGATTAAATAAGCAAAGTGCGGTCTTGTCTATATAACGAAAGTCTAGATAAGACGCTTAGCTTGAATTGCGTAGAAACAGTCGAGTGCATGCAAACTCCCGCTCTCTGGGAACCAATCAAAACAAATCATAGCCGCGCCAGCGAAACGACGTGCACGTGCGGACACAAGGAAGCAGGTGTTATTATATTGTTCGAGTTCATAAAATAAACAGTCCGAAATTATCAGATAAGAGAAGATAACAGTCCACTTGACTTCAATTTTTTATTTGAAAGTTCTACCTCTTCTACAGACAATTTTATTGACAACCCAAATTTCTGGAGAAAAGAAATTGATGAGTACCTTTCAAGTAAACGTGCTCCGAGAGAAAAAGATATTCTTGTTTGGTGGCGCAAGCATCAGTTTGCTTATTCTACATTAGCCAAAATGGCACGCGATTTGCTGAGTATTCCTGCCACATCTGTTCCAGCAGAACGCTCATTTTCTAGAGCTTCGCTGACCATTCGTAAACATAGGAATAGGCTTAATTCCGATTCAGCCAGGTCACTCCTATGTATCAATTCATGGGCTACCTGTCAGCTTCATGAAGGTATTAAAAAATATGGTTCTGTTTAAAATTTAATTTGTTTCTTTAACGTACTTAAATTCAAAACATATAAACGTTTGTGAGTTTTTTTTTGTATTATTTTTGATATAGATTTCAAAATAATCAAGAGTTTTGAATAAAAGTCTTGTATGGAAAATGAAAAGTCTTGTCTTGTCTAGATAATCTAGACAAGACATATTGATGATCTTGTCTAGATAATCTAGACAAGACATATTGATGATCTTGTCTGGATATTCTAGACAAGACAAGATAAGAGTCTAGAATGTATAAGTCAATAAGTCTAGACGGCAACACTAGCTTCAACATAAAGGGAGAGGAAAATAGTTATCTAAACGAGAGAAAGAGACACTATTAATACTCACCAGTTATTTCAGTATTGAATTTCCATTTCCAATTTTCTGAAATCATTTTGTTTATATCTTCATTTCCTGAGATGGTTTCACCTGGCAGTTTTTTACATTCTTCTTCATGTTTGCTCTACTTTCATAGTTGAGTGGAAAACATTTGGATTTCTCAAGCGACCATCACGAGATTCGGGAGTTTGTCGGATTCCACTATTTCTATTGCACCAAACTGTAGTAATGAGCGTTTTTTCAGAGCACTCTCTCTCCTCTTCCTCTCATTTGAAGAGCTAGCATGTGTTTCTTCATGACAGTTGGGAGGAATCCATGAAAATATGGATGCTCGTATTTTAGAAAACGCTGTCTTCATTTAAAATATTTTCAGCAATGCAGTGCTGACGCCTCTATCAAATAACAGCAACAACTTTGTTATCCCGAAGAGAATACCCTGTATTTTATTGCATTTCAAGATTCTTCCTGATGAAGAGCTGATTCCATCTATACATCACACTTGGGGTCTACCGGAGATGATTACAGAGATATAGGATGTTCAAAATCGAGAATTCGCAAACTTGTGTCAAAACTTGTCATTATCGGCCAAAATGGTTCACATGTCCCTATCTCAACTTTCGATTTACTATTATTAACTGATATTTAATCGGATCAGATACATCTTGAACCACTCTGTATCTGATCCGATTTGATATCAATAAAGAGTGAATCAAAAGCTGAGATAGGAACATGTGAGCCGTTTCGATCGATAATGAATGGTTTCGACACAAACCAACCCCAAAGTCGAGAAATCTCAATATTGAACACCTGATATATATCGATGAAATCAGCTTTTCAGGAAAAATCCGCCAAAATCTTGAATTGCGATGAAATTCAGAGTCTTTCAATCGAAATTTCAATGTTGCTACTATTCTTCGAGAGTCTTGTGCGAGCAAGGAATGACGGGGTCCTTACCTTTTAACGTGTGATCCCAAACACTTTCTTGGGCCATCAGAAAAATGTCTGCAGTCGATGGGAATCGAACCCACGACCGGCAAGCGAATGCGGATTAGAATATAGACAATCTGTCCACACGGCTACCTGGCCCCCTAAGTGAGCAACACTTCATTGTCGAAAATATTTTCGTTAAAGAAAACAATTTCTGAAATATAACTATGCACATGGATTCCTCTTGGATGATTCTCGATATAAATATAGTGTAAGATCGTCGTGACATACCCTGTATAGCGGCCGTCCTAGCAACATGAAAAGAATTTCTAGAGATTTAGCTTGGTCATTTTCATTTGAGGGTGATCTGATCGGCGACAATTTTTCCAAATGAAACGCCCTATATATTGTGTTAATCAATTTCTAGAATCCCCATGAAGAGGTAGATCCAAAGATATTTCATGCATAGGGTATGTATGTATATACTTAGTGCATCCATTGAATTCTGATGTAATCTTCCACAGTAGTGGATGAATTTAAGGAAAATAATAGGAATTAATTCTGGAGCGGTCTCCCAATGTCGAATCTCATTTCCATCTGGAAATTTTTTCGAATTCAATTGATTCATTCCGAATGAGTCGTGTATAGGAGAAATGACGTCATTCGTATTTTTTCGAAAGCAAGTCCATATAATGGAATCACTGAATCCAACGAACGCACTGTATACAAGCTATTTCAGAAATCAGCTCCTCATCATGGGGATTCCTGAATCTGATAATATATAGGGTGTTCTATCTGAGAAAATTGTCGCGGACGTCATACCTCGAACATGGATAATTGATGAAATGTTGAAATTCAAAATCAATGTGTTTCAGAAGATTTCTTATGAATTGAAAGTTTGGCTTTCTCACTCTGACTTTAGGATGATATTTATAGTATCTAGAGAATCATTACTGCAACCTTCACAGCATATACATAACAATTGAAAGAAACCAACGAAAGAAATTGAAATATAATTCGAGCAACTTGAAGATATGATCGTCATAAAGTCACAACAAAATGACTCTGAATCACAGCAAAACATGGCCCGTCAGTACTTTGGCAGTAGTACAGCTGAGGGTCGATCCACAGGGAAAAACCTACACCAATGTAGACGACGAAAATCGTCACGAAAAAACGGCCGAACAAGCTATAAGAGAAAAATCCCCACTCATAACTGAACACCGTCAGAAAGACATCAAAGATGATGCGGAGGAAATAAACGGTTATGGGGGAGGGGTGGTGCCATTATCGAAAAAACATTTGGAATTGTTCACGAAAATGTCGAGTGTTCCTAGAATCAGGACTACTGTGAGGACTGATACCGTTTCAACTATACTGGATACGACTGAGTTCGAGTTGGAGAGGATAGAGGAGAGTGGTGAGTATTATATTATGATCATCAACTTCGTTAATCAGGGGTAGATGTCTCATTACATCTGGAACATGATTTATTACATTATTTGCTTATCCATTTCATTCATATTATCTATATCTATATCTTATGGAAGGGAAGTCGTTGCTGACCAGTAGGAATGAAACCAGTGTATATTGGGGGTAGCAGCAGTGTAAAAAGAATACTCTTTAAAGTTAATCCAAGCTTCCGGGAATGTATATTTCCATCATCAGGAGTACTACAATGATTGAAGAGTGTGAATACATTGGAAAACACTATGGCCTAAGTACAAGGCATGGCCATAACGTTTTTCAATGTATTTACACTCTCCAATCATATTAGTATTCTTGATGATGGAAATAAACATTTCCGAAAGCTTGGATGAACTTCAAACAGTATTCCTTCCACACTGCTGCTACTACCAATATGATATAAACATCATTTCTATAATAATAACGATATTATCATCCGTTTTCGAGAAAAACGCAAATTAACAGTTCACAGTCTCGGAAGAGAATTTCAAATATTATTTCTTTCATGAGGAGTTTGCTTTGGTATTTCAGATAATCGTTGCTGATGATTGACATTCCTGATCAGGATTCTGGTGCGAGTTTATAGTCAATACTTCTTCGATTGAAACGCCCTGTATCCTTTTCCACAGCAATATTTCATTGAGGCATATTTAGTCCTATAGCTATATTTTGATCCAAACAATCCGGGCCTTATGCTCCAATTGTAAGTTAGAAGAGTCCCTGTATATGACCGGCAGATCTTAACAATCATTCAAAATGGACTATTGTGAACTCTTGAAACTCCATTTCGAAACTCAGAATTCATTATACCGGAGAGTTCGAAGAGGCAGGTTTGAAATATACATATTTCATAATGCCTGAGTTAGTGAATAATGTACCTTAATTCTAAACAATTTCCAGTTCCCATCCATGTATAATTCATCACGCTTCATTTTGGATTACACGGATAGTTGACAGCTCTGTAAACGAGTTATACAACATTTTCGCGCATTTCCCAGAATTGGAATGTTCATGTGAAATAGAAACGAGACTCATAAATTCAGAGGTTGAACAAAATTATAGTTCTTGTGAAACTCAAAATAAAACAAACTGTCACATTTCCTGCTGTCGATGAATAGATTGTATTTTTTCATCGATCCAAAATTGTTATGATTGGAGTTATAGAAAGTGGAATTTAAGAATGAATATTTGACATTAACTCGGATGAAACGAGTATAATACAGGATGGTGCAGATAATTATCCCTAACTTTGAAGGTCAATGGAGCTAAAACTAGAAGATGTATCATGAATCCGTCCCTCCATATGTTCCTGGAGTAACAAACACATTATAAACGACTTGGAGGTGAATCACCAAATCTTCGATAGAACTGATAGTGTGGGATATCTAGAAATAATCTAAGATATCTAACAAATTGACTTTTTACTCCCAAGCAACACACAAAATAAATTACACAGAAATCACTTTGGAACATAGGAATCATATTCAGGGTCATCAAAGCATTCAATTGTACAAAATCTGTTACTCTTGTGCGAAACCTAAGTACGAGCATTTGAACAAAAATAAAAACTTCATACTCTGGGTTGTTTCCATGAGACTCCAGAGCTCCTTTGCAGATATCAATGACAGTTTAAATGAAATGCCTGGCGCCTCCACAATGTCACGATATAATAGATCTTTCCACCATGTCATGATAAAAATAGGTGGTTACTCCATCCATATCGATTTATAAGGGGTAATACTTGGCTCAATGGTTCACGAGAGGTAATATTCGAATAGGCACTAATGATTTAGGGGTATAGCTGAAAGTACGACTACGACACTTTATTCAATTATAACAATATTTATTATAGCATGAAACATTATGGGTACAGTGATGATGAATATAAATGAACAGCAATGAATATAAAGACTGAATAACAACTTACATTATAATGACCATTGCGACGAGCTCTTGTCAAGTCAAGAATAGCCCCAGACCAGACTAACTTCGGAACCCTCCCATCCAATATTCATATACCTACATTAATTCATTAGATTCGCACGTATCTCATGAGAGTGCCTTGGTCAGTTTTCATAATTCATTGTCAACAGATGATTTGATTAACTATATGTTTATAAAACCCTCATGGTTCGGAATTACTAATATACCGTTTTATCTACTCGTGACAATATATACCCCTGAATAGTAACTTAGATACCCTATTTGTATCAGAGGCTACTCTGCCTCACTTGAGTTCTAAGAAATAACTTCAAACTAAATATTCTAGCTCCCTCAATGTTCAATTTACAAAAAAATAGTACTAATGACTTTCAATCATGAATGAAATGTGGAGGAGTATTTCGGAGATAGAGACAATAACCAATTGAAATTACCATCAGTGATATACACTGCTCGCTAGCAACCATGGAACCACCTACATGTCTGGAAACTCAAATTAGCAGATAAGATAATTTCGGAATCACTTCGGATTCGATAACAGAAAACAGAACTACTCATATTCCTCCTGAAACATTTTCAGTTCCGAAATAATTAATTTTGTCTCACATTCCGATATTCCAGGTGGATAAATTTATTGAATCAGAAAATTCACTTGATGTATGTTCTCATCAAGGATAATGAAATACAAATCAGAACTAGTACGATCGAATAGATTATCAGGAGTGATCCAATGGATCAGAAATCATAAATGGAGATTGAATGAATTCGTTGATAGTATAAGCAGAATCATAATAATGCGTCAAAATATGAGACGTATAGGTGAATTGGACATCCTGTTTTCGAATCCGACGAGATTTTCTACTCACCTTGTCTCTTGATAATATTTCTGGACATGTAGGTAGTTCCATGGCTGTTGGCGAGCAGTTTATATCACTGAAGATGGCCCCACTCAGTCATATAATACATTTTTGATATATCCCTCGCTCTAGCAAATTCAGGATCATAACCCAACGATTACGTGAGATATAAATGAAATTCTCAGAACTGACATTTTTTCAGGGAAAATATGAGTAGTTAGTGAATTGAGCGTCCTGATTCCGAATCTCAAGTAATTTTCAACATATTTCGACTGCTGATATAATCTCCGGGAAATTTGGGTGGTTCTATGGCTATTGACGAGCAGTGTGAATCACTGAAGATATCTCCATTTGGTTATAGTGTGCATTCCTTGGTATTTCTCTCCGGGAAATAATTATAATTAAAAAAAAGAATATAGTCTCAGAACTTGTTTATAAATGAACATCAATAGTGAAAAATATGCGCAATACCATATCATTTCTCCTTCAAAAAAAAAAATTATATTCAATGTTATTCACGTACACCTATCATGAACCCCCACCTAACACCCTCCACAGTATAGATAATATACTATACACAAAATACCTGCTATATAAACGGATTGCGTTGTACCAACCAATCTGTATTACAACAATATTCAATCTTCCCGCCTACATCTGAAAATTCACCTTGTATACTTTCCATTCCATCAATCCATCACCAACACAACAATACCATCTCTTCGTAGAAAGTGTGAAAATAATGTATTCAATTATTCAATTTCAGGCGAGCTCGGACGTCCCGAACCCACCCCCGATGACGTCATCGTAGGGCCCGAGGTCCCTGTGCACTCCCCCCTACAGAAATTCCATGTGTTGGCCCTGACTCGCATCGATGAGTCGATCGACGAGGCGGCCTTGGGGGGGAGCGGGAAAGAATGCCACGTGGGGCGGCGGCCTAGCGTCAGGGTCGACAACTGGGATTTCATCTATACGGAGACGCTGCCTGACGCTCAGGTGAGTACTCAGTGATCCACCTTTATATTCGTCAATCTTAGTTTCAAATTGTTGATTTTTGCGAAACATTTTCGAATCTGTTTCCGCAATTCGTACTTATTATTCAAAGTTGAGGCTTTCTCATGAACATGTAAAAAGAGGGAAGACATAACATTTCATTGACACGAAAACAAAAGCACTAACCTTAAGCGAATATTGGATAATGGCAAGTTGAAACTTGTATACCAAACTGCTGATCAATCGAACCGCATCAAGCACATTTTTGCTCTGAATTCAACATTGAATATTTTTGCCGAAATTCCACTAATTTGGATGCGGTTTTCTTCATTCTGAAGATTGATTCATTGCGGGTTAATGATAGATAGACCGCTGATGAAAATACATGGAAACCTCTGACTATACAGGGCGACAAACAAACCTCTGCAAAATATTGAAAAATTCTCCATACTCCCAATTTGATGAAACATTTTTGAGATTTTTTTCAATAGTATTTTCATAATTCTCCAGCATATTCCTCGAGATATTTTCGCAATTTTCCTCTTATTTTCCCAGATTTTAGAGCAAAATACAGATAACCTCTTGAATCAGCCATTGTGATCTTCATTGTATGAAATCCCACATTGTTTATATACAGAGCGTTTGGCAACAATATTCGATAGATATTATTACAGCATAACGCATTGATCTACTTCTATAATATTCGAGATTGAATGACAGCAACATTCATTGAAGTTGCTGAAAAAATACGGGAGAAAGAATGAACTGGGTGATATACCAAGATTGATGAAAGTTCCATACAATGAAACTTACTCATCTCTCCTACTCTTACTCATCATTGGAATGTTGCTCAGTGTAGAATATACGAGGGGATTCACAATAACCTGTGTATTCCTCTGAATAAAAATTTTGAAGAAGTTGACTTTGTTAACTCAGAACTGAAACGGGGTAAGAATTGAAATATAATGATTGAAACCGGTGAAACAATAAGCACTGGAATGAAAAAGAAATCATTGTTCTGCCCACCCCGCACCCTCAGCACTTCTTCACATCATTGAACTGTCAAAGTTTCATTGTATATGAAACTTCCATCAACCTTCGTATATCACCCTGTATATTCTTTGTCCCGTTTTCTTTTCAGCAACTATGAGGAAAGTTGCTGTCATTCAGTCTCGAACACTGTGTATATAAACAAACACTCTGTATATAAACAATGGAAGATTTCATATAATAAAGGTCACAATGGCTCATTCGAGAGAAAATCTGTGATATTTGAGCAACAAATGAAAATATTTTTGGTCAGCAGTACAAATTATCACATTTTTCGAAAAAAAAATCTTTTTCACGAAAATCTGGAAATGTAAAAGGACAATTGCGAAATCATTTCGGGGTATATGCTTGAGAATTATGAAAATATGCTTGAAAAAAATCTCGAAAATTTTCCATCAAATCGGGAGTATGGATAATTTTCCAATATTTTGCAGAGGTTTGTTTGTCACCCTGTATAGCCAGTGGTTACCATGTATTTCTATCAGCGGTCTATCTGTCATATACCTGGTGAATCATTCTTCAGAATAAAGCAAACCGTATCCGAATAAGTGGAATTTTCGCGAAAATATTCAATGTTGAAATTAGAGCAAAAATGTGCTCGATGCGGTTCGATTGATCAGCAGTTTTTTCGGAACAAGAAAACAAGTTAATGACTATGGAAATATTTGTGTTCTTAGAATTGTCCACCTACCACTATTAACCTGTTTCAATGGATTTCACATTGTTAACTGTAAGTGAACACGACAGCACCTGTCATCAGTGACCCATCCACCCATCATTACTGACTTATTCACTCGTCATTAGTGACTTCTTCACTCTTCATCAGTGACTTATTCATTTGCGATTAGTGACTTATTCACTTGTCATTAGTTACTTGTCCACTTGTCATTAGTAACCTGATCACATGTCATTAGTGACTTATTTACTCGTCATCAGTGACACATCCACTTGTCAGTAGAGACTCATTCACCTGTTATTAGGTAGGTACTATGAAAATTCACATCTCTGAAAAATGTAACCTTGATGAAGAGACGAAAACTCATGCTTTCAAAACATTGATTGTATTGCTATGATCAATCCAGAAATCAAAAATGGATAAGGATGACGACGAATATTGGGACACTAAGTACCGTGGGTATATATCAGGATCATGCGCCAAGAAGAACGGTTCATCAGACTGGTACACTTTTTGATTCTTCAGTGATGAAGATGAAAAAGATGATTCTCAATTTACTTCCATATTCAATAAAAGTCACTTTTTACGACTTCGAGTATCATCCGAAGTGGAAAAAAATCATGTATTCGTCAACAATGGGCGTGTACACCTAAGTAGAACTTTTAACTAAACCATGTTTATAATGATCCTCCCATACATGAATAATGATTGGCGACATAATTCGATCGAAAAATCAACTGGGATTATTTTATTTTTGGGCATAAATCATAGTACCTTCTCAAAACGGACCCTCTTATGACGTAGAAACCTCATCTCTCCATAGTTGAAAAAAAATACCAAACGCCCGACGGAGACTGAGGCAACTGATATATTAATTCTTTCAACTGTGATCTCGCGCTGATTCACTCTGTCGGAAATCATGTATCATTGATCTCCGTCTGGAATAGTGTTGTTTCAGTATCAGGGTTTTGACGTCACATCCGCCTTGTTTTCAGAGGTCCGAGAAATCGGGGATTTCAATAATTTTTTATAAAACGTAGGGTGCTCACAGCAAGAAACGGTTTGCGGTGGTGAGCAAGTTTGGGTTAGTTCTATCGAATTATAAAATGAATTTTTCTTGTGATATAAGCCTGATACTGTTTCTAGAAGAGTCATGTATTCATCTCCTTCGAAATAATAACAGATAAGGAACTCAACACCCCACAGCTGAGAGCGCGGCACATAAACGGAGAATCTTCACGAATATGATGTAGCAGTTGTTCATAACGGCACTCCTTGCTTGACTCGAAATTTCAATTTTTCCCGGGGGAACGCATGGTGTATACTCTGAAAACGCTTAGATCATTATATGATTATGAAGCCGTGGACAGCTAGTATGAGTGGTCGCATTGGGCGTTGGCACCCGAATAATATATCAAAGATGTCCAAACGGTGAGGTGTTAGGTGTGGTTAGGTGACCTGTCACTTGCACCAATCGACTTGTCAGATTGTCTTCATCGATGACTTCGCTCAGAACAAATGATTGATTTTCAGAAAAATAATTTAATAATGATGAGTATTCGTCAACCTTGCACTAGTTCAGTTTTTACTTATAATTAGCGAACTCAGAATACATCTCAAAGCAGGAAGATTGGTTCAGAAATATTGTTTTGCCTACTTTCAGTACCATTATTTTTTTACTGTTGGTGAAAATGTTCTTGTCACAATCGAATTTTGTTTCGAGGAAACGATTTACTTGTCGGGATTCTTGTCATTCCAAACAATATTTGTTTTACAATCAAAGAGTGCTCCAAAGTTTCAAATGACTTCAAAAGAGATGGCAAAATAATGGCAAAGATGTAAACTGTGCGACAATGTTCACACTTTTCTTTCCTAGTCGCGTTAATTGAACAAGGAGCAAGACAATTCAACTTGACAATGACAACGATTTTATACATGTCAGATAAAGTGTTGGTCTAATCTTTCAATTTTGATTTGAAATATTCGTGGCTCCTTAGGTTCTGATCAGAAGACACAAAGTTTTCTGCAATAATTCAATTGAAACACATGCGATAAATACACCAGATACACCATTGCTCAAGATTTAAGAAACATAACCCAACTCTTCGTCGAAATAACAATCCGAGGTTGGAACAATGAACTCAATACAACTGGAAGGGATACGATCGTTCTCTCGAATAGCACAAAGTGTGTCAGGGGCAGCTGCAACGAAGATAGCATGATTTACGGATACCTGTCCTCTTCCAACTCGTGTTGTTTAATGGTGGATTGGTGTATAAATTTTCTTTTATCTGATAATTAAAGTAGTAAAGAATTGTTCCTGTCATCTACACAGGCAAGAAAGTGAAGTCATAAGTTCATTGTCTTAGTTCATGTGAAATACGAGGTGAAATATCTATTCATTTGGCGTGTTTTGTTGTAACAAAAGGACTGAATTTGTTGTTGTGAACACTGAACTGATTGTTGAGAAGGTTTGTGATTAGTATTGATAAACAATGGTGATTTAGGATGTAAGAATGAACAAAACAAAAGGAAATTAGCATTCCATGGGTAAGTTGAATATTGTTCTCAGATTTTTGAAAAATATAGTTCTTGAAATGATCAGTTACGTATACAATGTTTCCAGTCTCAGAATATGTTTGAAAACCATACCTATATTATTTGTCAAAGTTAAATACTTCCATATATTGATATTGAGTAATATTATTTGTTGCAGTTTTCCATTCAAAAGACCAGACATTCTCGAATTATGGATAAAGGCAATTCGTAGAGAGAATTGGACACCAACTAAAAGCAGCAAGCTTTGTGGGGAGCATTTCCTGCCAACAGATTATTCAGGGATACCAGGTACTGCTAGGTTTTTGAAAGCAGATGTTGTACCCAGTATATTTTCATTTCCTCAGCATTTGTTACCAAAAAATGCTGATTCCCCCAGGAAAATAAGGAATTGCACCTCTTTAAAATAAAAAAACTAGCAAGTAATAATTTGTTTTCAGGATACATCTGTGGACGTTCATAACTTGGGTCCAAAGGAAGAAGTTTCCCATGTTATTGACTCTTTGACTGCCTACCACTTTCAGTTCCCAAGTTTCAAAGTTTATCAAACTGTCTCATTAGAGAAGGACATTGTATTGAGGAGAAAAGTGAAGACACTGAGACGAAAAGTAAAAAGCAGAGACCTAAAACTTTCAAACATGAAAGAAGTAGAAAGGAGGAATAGGAACCTATGGAAATTATGCTCAAAATGCACTCAATACTCAATATCATTCAAGAACCTCTTTTCAAATTTTTCCTATCGTTTTTCTTCTCCTTCTGATAGTTCTGAGACATTGTGCTTCGCTCACCTTGTACAATATATTGTGACATTTGAATAAAAATACATAATTTCAATTTTGTATTCATTTGACTTCCTGATCCTGTAAAAGTAATATTGAAATTTCATTTTAAAGTCAATGAAAAAATCAGTAATAATTTTTAAATGATAATTGATTACAACATTATCCTTTTTCCTAAATAAATATTTTTATTTAATCACGTTTGCTCTTAAATAGAAGCAAAAAACGAGAAAATATTTCAAATTATACGAGCGCTTCCCATTAGCCAACACAAGATAGAGAGAGATAGGTATCCGTAAACACTGCGGGTTGCCTGAAAAATATTTTTGCCTCACTCGTCGTACACAGTGGGTCCCTTCCAGTTGTTAACATTCAGTTCATTGGGTTGGAATGGTGAACATTTTAACGGTCCATGGACTGGCGAACATAGAGTCCGTTCTACGGTCTCGTAACTCTCTCAAAAGAATTTTTTTTCGTTTAATTGTCAGACGACAAATAGTTTTTTCAGAGGCGATTTTTTTGTTTAATCTCTAGGTGACAAAGTTCTATCAAGTTGAGTGGATATAATCTACTCCTAGTTGTTTTGTTCAGATTGATTCTATGCACCTCCACTCTATCTGTATCAAAATCATGGAACTGATATAACAAAATAATCAGTAGAGAATCACTCAACACATTTTTTCTCAAACTCACCATCATTAGGCAATAGATATTACCACACAAAAAATCAATCGACTAAATTGCGAAATTAGGGTAATCACTTCTTGATTACCACGTATTATATCAATGTGAATTCGAATAGGTTCAATGAATGAAAGACCCCGAATTTCACTCAATATATCCCTTTTTGCATTGAAGTGTGAATTGAAACACCTTCAATACCAAAAAATTCTACAGAGAATTTCGAAGAATTTGAGCGGACACTGTAGGAATAGTAACGATTCACCTATTTCATTCGCATGTTGAAGGAAAGGAAACAGCATCATAGTATCAGGTAGTTTTTCCTGATATTCGTTTCAAGCAGTCTTTACATCTAATTCAGTAGAAAATGTGGATTGTAATTGGTCTTAATTCCTACGCCAGCAAATTGGATTTCATTTTCATTCAGTTCACGAAATAAAAACCACATTTACTCACTTCCAGGTCAGAGGTGCTTGACCTAGTGCTAAACTACTTTAGAGTTCGCACGAAACAGGCATTATTTTCTCTATGCAAAGGGTCCAAAATTTGGGGAGTTTCATTGGGATCTCGGTAACCATAACAGATACAAAGTCGGTCGGATTATAGAAGAAGTTGTGCAATGTGATGCTGATCAAAATGCCCCCTCGAAAGTTTGGAAATTCCGAATACTTTCAAAGATATTTGTGAAAATCAGAATATCCGCGATTCCGTTTCCACTCTTTTCTGACTTCATTTGAAGTGATATGAAGAAATGAGCTGTGTATTATCATCGACACTTTCAACGCTCTATCCATTGGTATTATCAGATTTGATATTGAACTTCACGATTTTGCGACGATTCGTACCAAAACATCTACATCAGTGTTATTTGATGATGGTTACGAGGAATCGGAACGTCGAATCGGAAATCTGATGACATCATCTTGTAGAGTAGAAAAAATAGCTGTAGGAATGTGAATTCGTTTTGGTCTATCTCCTCCAGTGAAATCAGAAGAAGATCCTTCCGCAGAATTAGAACATATCATTCGATTCTACTGAACAATAACAATTTCTGGATGATATACCAGAATGGTAAATATTTTTCTAACTCTGAAAGTTGTTGTAATCAGATTTTCGATCCGACTTTTCATATGTGTAATTGTGAAGGGCATTTCTTGTAGAAAATTTCCTCATCTTAAATTTTCATGTTCTCATGTTTTTTCTAAAAAAGCACCGTTCTGTAGATATTTTTAAAAAACCGTTTTTGAGCGCCATCTTGGCAAGATGGCGGCGCCGGCGGCATGTCCCGGAATGTGCATTTTGTGAATTTCAGTTCTGGACACCCAAAACCATAATCCTACAAAGTTTCAAAACTTCCGGACTTTTTTCCAGGTAAAAATCCCCAATGACTGGCCTATATGTAATAGTTGGAAGATTAGAGTGAGAATTCATCGAATATCCACCACTATGATGGAAATTTGACATTAACTTATCGGAATCATATGTTACGCTTCCTGAGTCGCACTCGACATAATTATTTGTTGAATAATAACTTGCACGTTTTGGAGATGATGTTCAAGTTTCTGAGTTTCATTGGAAAATGGTATATACTCCATATTATTTTCAGATCCATTGCCCGGTGCATCACTATACCTTGTCACCTCCAGCCAGCACCCACCTCAAAAACTCTCTGCTACCTCCAGAGCTACCTCTAGACGCAAGAAAAACAACTACTTTGAGGCGCCATTACTACCCCGAAAGCGGTTGGGGGTGGGTGGTGGTTGTTTGTGCTGTGCTCGTGCATGTGTTGAACCATGGAATTCAATTGGGGTGTTCTCAGTTGGTGATCCCAGGAGCAAAGAAGTTCAAGGTGGAAACAGTTCATTTTGCAGGTGAGTGATTGTCTTAGTATACATAGAAATATTTTCTGAAGTTGTTTGGAATTCACGATAGGCTTTCCTACCTCATCTCAAACTATTATCATCATAAAGAAATCAACCATGTGAGTCGAAGAGATTTCCTAACACAATTATACATAGAAAATATATAAGCTGAATAATACGCATACAAAAACAAATCAGATCAGATCAAATTCTGATCAAAGTGTTCTTTTGGTTTCATGAATAATCTTGAAATATATCACCTTGCTTCGGTTGAATACCGCGAACGTAAATTCGCAACCACTCATTACGTGATGGAAGATGAGCTTATGGTTAGCTACACTCTTCTTCATTGCACTTCCCAGATCATAGGAGAGCTGAGGAGCATCACCTCTTCCTGTCTCGAGACAATATTTGAATTAAGGGGTGTCTAAAGACACTCTCGACGGCTGATGCCATGTATCATGCCGTCAGTACTATCGATGTGTTTGCATCATCAGTTGTGTCTGTTTTTCGTATTCGATATTCGATCAACTAACTCGTGAACCTGTTCGTGTCATGATGGCGCTACTCAAATATTTCGTTTTGGTCTATCTCCTCAATTGTTTCATGGACAAAGTACTCTTCTATATGGCCAAGTTCACATCGCACACAATTGTGTCACTTGAATTGAACTTACTCATTCGCACCTATTAGGTTCCTTCTAATGGTTTTTGAAGCAGCGTACAGTGACCCTTGATATATTCTCCCCATATGCGAAATTTCCTTCTTGAAAAAACTAACTTTGACACTGATGATGTTATATTCTTCATGAATGAGAGGCATGAATAATGAAAACAATTCACTAGTCATTAACGATGTCACTGTTTTTTCTAAAATCTTGTATGAGAGTCGCGAAATAGTAAAAGGACTGGGTTAGGCCGTCCTCCATGAGTATCACAATAATATGAACCTCACAACTTCAGAAATGAATGGGAACTGCTGCCTTTCAGCGCCTTCTGATATAATTTGATGATATGTTCGTCGAACATGCCACACCGTGAATGAATTCAAAACCTCTCTTGATCATGAACACATCAGAAGTATAGCATAGCATAGAGGTTAGAGGGGTAGGTTTGATCTGATGTAGATATATAACACATTTATCGTGATAATAATTATCTCATTTCCTTCATATATAGGAATTATTATCATAATTCACTTTCAGGTAATATGGAAATTTTCATCAACTACATGAATATTTCGTCAGCGCAGAAGATCTGAAAAGTCGCTGATTTGCAGCCTGTTATTGAAGCTCCAATAACCATCTGATAAATGATCAACATCACTATGCATCACGAAAAAAATCTATATAAGTACCTTGATTTTGTCTGAAATTGTCAATTTCGGAAAATGTATAGTTTTCGAGACACTTCTCTCATATTATTTATTGCATTCCAATGACACGAGTATAACATGAATCCTCATAACATGTTTGTGTGATGTAGAAGAACACGAATAATCATGAAGATGAAGATAATATAGACCACTTCAGAATGAAAACAATTCAATATAGTGATTGTGTTGCCATACCGACAAAGAATATTTTGAATGGAGAAAATTTCATCAACATTGGTGTAGATAAAAAAAAAAAACAATTCAGCATGATATTCTTTATATTTATTTTGTTGAAATCACCTACATATATTTTTATTGACTCAGATATTGCCGATACTATTTTTTCACGAATATGTTGGACAATTCCATCGAAGTGGTCTGAAATAGTCAAGTAGGTATTATCACGAAAATGGTTTAGGTATTTTTCCTCTCATTATAGACAAAAAAACTACAGCATTTCAAAAGGATACACGAACGATTTCTGACAAAAAAATTATCTTATCAAAAATCACCAGTAAGATCCTTATTCGACTATGAAAATAAGAAATGTCAAAGCAACCAATTGAAATGATCACTAACGAAGTATTATTCTGTATGAAAAGACACATTTGAGGATCTGATTCTCCAACATATAGCTGACATAGAGCTTATGTTCTTGTCAGCCCTGCCGACTCACCCCATATTTTAGTTATATTTCTTTACGATGTGGTTGTTAGAGAACGAAATAGTTGTCGTTCTGTGACATTCTCTTCGATTGAAAAACAGTTGAGAGATTGAAACCAATAGTTACTTTGTCGTGCCATTCACAAATGATAACTTCACTGCAAAACCACAGTCCTCTCTTACTTTATTATCTCTCATTATCTCTGATCCCTTGAGACAGTTACTTTAGCAATTCCAACGTGAGAAAATTAAAAAAATAAAAGTAGAATGCAACATTTGGATGACTATTCTGAATAACATTGGCGAATTGGCACCTATAGACCCTCGAACCTTTCTGACATTTTGGCAAGAATCAAATCATTCGATATATCGTGAGAAAGTTTACCAAACCAGTATATATTTCTACGGTATATGTTTTCTACGTATAAACTGTTTTACCATGTCGACCAAAACATGGTACCATCGATTTATCGATATCATGGCATTCCTCAATTGCTGCCTGATAAATGAACCGTTTATTCAAAATATGGAACAGAGATTATTCCTATTACACCCCATTTTGCCAAAATACATTTTAAAGGATCGTTCCAAATCGGTGACAATAACCACAATGAATAAACAATTCTGCTCACCATGATGGAAGGTAGAAAATATACATTTTCTCTAGTCCATGATTGCTGAAATCGAAAGCAGATCCATTGATTATATGGCTTCAAGAGTGTACACAAAACATTAATATCCAGCAGAACTCTTCACACCTAGATGATGCTACAGGGTATGTCACGACGAGCTTACACTATCTTCATATCGAGAATCAGTCAGTAGAAATCCATGAAAATGTGCAAGTTTATATTTCAAAATACGCTTTCTTCATGTAAAATACTTTCGACAATGCAGTGTTGCCGCTTCTACTAGAAAGTAGTAGCAACATTGATATTTCAAATATTTCATTTCATCGCATTTTTAGATTCTTCCTAAAGAGCTGATTTCATCAATGCATCACACTTGGGGACAATCGAAAATGATTACAGAGATATAGGGTGTGCAAAATCGAGATTTTTCAACTTTGGGATTTTTTTGTGTCGAAACTATTCATTATCGGTCAAAACGGCTCGCATGTCCCTATCTCAACTTTTGATTCACTGTCCACTGATATTCCATCAGAACAGATACAGGGTGTTTCAAGCTTCAGAATTCTGAGCACCCGGTATCTGTTCCAATTAAATGTCAGTAAATAGTAGTAGTAGTAATCAAAAGTTGAGATAGTTACATGTAAGCCGTTTTCGTTATTAATGAATAGTTTCGACACAAACAAATCCTAGAGTTGAAAAATCTCGATTTTGAACACCCTATATATCTGTAATCATGCCCTAAAGACCCCAATTATGATGTATCGATGAAATAAGCCCTTGAAGGAAAATCTAAAAATGCAATAAAATACAGGGTATTCTATAGTAGTAGTAGTAGTAGGTCATTTAGCAATATTCTGCTACTCATTTCACAACAACAATACAATATTTAAATCTAATATAATATACATATATACACATACATACACACACATATATATACGATGATTACAAAATCCTTATTTCATTCAAACAAATATTTATAAATTATTTCTCATTCCCTAATACTTTTCTTTCACATATTCCACAGCCTTTCTTCTGAACTCATTGAACATATTAATTGATCTTATATACAATGGTAAATTATTATACAGCACTAGTCCATTATAAAATATTGACTGCTTTGTTGAAGTCTTCTTCACAGATACCACATATATATTGGAAGCCGTTCTAGTGTTGTATTTATGAATTTCATTAACAAACTTGATTCTATCTGACATATACCTTGGAAGCATTTTGTGCAATATTTTGTAAATAAATAGAACAACATTAAAGACCAGTCTTTGATTTATACTCATGAAATGTAGGCATTCTAGCATCGCATTTGTTGAGGTATACTTATTTACTTTCAATATAATTCTCATAGCTCTATTCTGTTGTATCTGTAATTCTTTTTTTTCCCCATCGTTACAATAATAAACAATGGTGGGGCAGTATTCAAAGAGGGGAGCTATAATGGCCTTATATACCGTAACTCTGGAAAACATCGACAAGCTCTCACTAATCCTATAAAAGTAATTTATCCTCTTACTAATTTTATCGAGTGTATACCTAATATGTTTATCAAACTTTAACTTGCTATCAATAATTAATCCCAGATATTTACATTCAGAAACATACTCCAGTTCTTCATTGAATAATTCAAGCTTAGTAACTGTTTTTGAGTCTACATTTGTTCCAAATAGCATTACTTTTGTTTTTTTCGTATTCACAAACAAGAAGTTATCTTCTAACCATTTTTCAAATTTTATCAATTCATTTTGCATCGTATTGCATACCTCATCTACTGATTTCCCAGATACTGATATTACCGTATCATCGGCAAATAAGTTGACTGTTGTTTCTTCATCAAAGCAATTCACAATATCATTGATGTATGTGATGAACAAAATTGGGCCGAGTACCGACCCTTGTGGTACTCCAAATTCAACCTTCTGCTTCTGTGACACATAGTTGTTAATTTTCACTTGTTGAGATCTATCATTCAGGTAATCTTCAAACCATTCAAGTGCTTCACACCGTATTCTATACTTTTTAAGTTTTTCAATCATTATTTTTCAGTTGATAGTCTCAAACGCTCTTTTGAAGTCTACAAATACCGATAACACTATTTTATTTTGCTCAATTTGTTCTTTCCACTTAGTAATTACCAACTGAATAGATGTCTCACATGAGTGTTTATCACGAAATCCTGACTGATTCTCTATAAGTATATTATTATCCATTAAATGTGTTAAGAATTGTTTTTTTATATGAATCTCCATTATTTTCTCTGGTAATGGCAAAGTATTTATAGGTCTATATTATTCACATTTTTTTGAATTAACCACTTTTGGAACTGGGATAACAATTGAGTTTTTCCACCTGCTGGGAA